TAGAGGTAAGAGTGGCAGGACTGGAAGTCTTGAATCTCCAGCCTCAATTAGGACAAAATTTAGTAGATAGAGTTCCAGTCTCAAGTTCTGACTTGTGAACAAGTTCTCTTCTGGGAGAACATTCGTAAGTCAGATTTGTTCCTAAGTCTGACAAAGAAAATCTTACACACCTTTGACACAAATATACAATGTAAGGCATAAAAAAAAGTCTCCACATCACCACTGCTTTTCCTCTTGCTTCCAGACAGCCTGGGCTTTGATTGAGCACTGTATTACTGTACACTATTGCTCTATACAGTAAGCACACAGCAGCTCAACTGTGACACTGTCCCACAGACACATGAGCTACTTCCATGATTTGTCTACTTCCATGTAATGCATGGTCCATTTGAATCTGTGAAAGTTCACAACTTGAACATTCATAAGGACTTCTTTCTTAGTTCCTGTGTAAATAGAACAATCATTTCTTTAAAAGAAACCAACCCAACCCTATTTCTATTTGGACTATTTAATAATATTGAGAAGTTATACATCTGTATATGTAAATTCAAATTTTCTTTCTCTTATCTTGGTGTCTATACAACTTTGAAGTGAAGACAATATAGGCAAGGTATGAATAGTTCAAAAGAAATCTTTTCATATGTAAACATTTAATGGACATTCTTTTTTTAATGCAAAAAGATCACACCTACTAGTATCAAACATTGAGTTCTTATAATATTTTCATTATCCCTTCACTTCATTATCCCTTGCACTTCGTTGTCCAAGCATTCCATTATATACCTGGGATAACTGGGCACACATCATATTCCTCTGGGACCAGCTGTCACCAGCGAGATCCCTAGAATGCTGCTATACTCTTCTCAGAAACTTTTCAATCTCTTCTTCACTTTGACCTCCATCCTTCCATTTGTGTGGCACAACACATTTAAGCATTGAACAACTCCCAGCAAACAGGCTTTTAGCTTCCTGTTTCACCACACCCATTTCAAATATCACTTCCCTGCCCTCTTCCTAATGTACAGCACCAAGACATGATGTTTTCCAGTGGAGTTGTCTGTGCTCTTGGGGACACTTCATCCCAAAAGTGGAACTGAATCTTGCTTTGGTACAATGTTTGTTAAAACTACCTTTGCCAGCACATTACTGCTCCCATGAGCTTCCAGTAGGCTGTTCCCCCTCTGAAGTCATTGCTAATGAAGAAGCTGATATGGAAGACAAATTTGGAGCTCATCTTGCTGCTGCCATTCTGATCCATTCTGGAACTACTCAGAGGCTACTTGTCTAATGTAGGGAGACTATTTCTCCAGCACTTGTGTCACACACTGGTAACCAAGTACTAAAGTAGTGCTCCTTTGTCCTGTCCATATTTCACACACTATAGGTCAAAAGATTTTATTAGATTTTTCTTTGATTTGATTTTAGGAATTCAAAATGCAACTATGCCAGAAAAAAACTGAATTACAGACTCAAAACTTACTGCTTCTTTGCACTCACTACCTGGGATATTGGTCTAAATCTATGCAGTAGGGCTTTACCATTTCCTTAAAGTGACTTGTTTCCTATGAAATACTCCACTCCTTATTTAAATATATACTTGTTAAATTAAATCCACTGGTGTTCCAGGTCTGCTTAGACAAATCTGAAGCTTCAGGTGACTAATCTGGGCTCAGTCTGGTATCCTTACCACCTTTTCATTTTAATGCTCCTTTCATCAACTGCCCCCTTTTCCCTACATTTGTATATTTAATGTTCTATCCACTATCTATCTATCTATCTATCTATCTATCTATCTATCTATCTATCTCATCTATCTATCTATCTAAACTAGAAACCACTCAAAAATAAGCACTGGCTTTGAAAAGTAAATTTATGGTGAAAGAGACATTATGTAGTTTTCCTAAATCAAAATGCAGTGGGTATTGTTCTGTAATTATATGTGTGTAATACCTAGAACATATTGAATATTTAATAATAAAATTCATAATGTTCAAATAAAGTCTTATGAAGAGTTCACTACTTTTAGTACATGAAATATAGTTTGGGTTCCTGTCAGCATTTTGAACAAAAAAAGAACTGGTCAGTCATTCAGAAGGTTTAGCCAGTGTAATCAGTGTCTGTGCATTGGGTCCGGAGGAGTGGGTTGTATAGTTAATGCTTGTATGATGTAGTTCAAGACCAAAGGTAACTGAGCAAGCAGTAACTTATGGAAACTTAATAGGCACCTCATTGCCAAAGTAAAAAGGAAACCAAAAGGAAACTTAATATTAAAAGTTATTTAAATGGAGTTCACAGTGATTCAAAGGGTACTTTGCTTCACATACAATATCTACCTTTGTAAAACCCAAGAAACCGTATTTGTAATGTACAAAACTCTTTACATCTTTCAGAACATAAATTTTTATACCAGTATTATTTCTCCATAGATAAAAATTAAAATGTTGAGTCTTTGGAATAAAAATCAAGGAAACCTTTTTGCCAACCAGGCGAAACTTGGAAGTTTGTGTTAAGTGTCTTTTTAACTATGAAAGGGTCAGTGTGTATTGTACTAAATGGAAAACTGATTTTTCTATATTCCATGTATGAACACCTTGCAGAAACTCAGTTCAGTATTAAAAAGTTCATATATTAAAAATGATTTCTGCAGTCATAAATGAACCTAGGTAAGAATTTAGTTTCTGTTAAATTAACACTTCATTAAAATTTCAAAATAAAAACTTCAACAAATACTTTTTTATGTTGTACTCCAAGGCAGAAAAAAATCAGAAATTTGAAGAACAGATTGCCAGTTATTCTATTCCATAACAGTTAAGTTTCTTGGTTCTTCCACCCACCCCCTCTTTCTTTCGCTTGCTCTCTGTCACTGGAAACATCTTAAACCAATTTCAAGTGCTACACCTGAATAAACATGTTGTAAAAGTGTTTATGTATTGAAGTGGGTCAGTTCAAGGTACGGTATTTGGCTGGAACTTCTAATTTCTCTTTTTACAGCAGAAGAGCTGCCAGAAGGAGGAAGTCTGAGCTGAATTAATACATTTGTTACAGTGGAAGTAGAATGGAAACTGCTCTGACCACAAATCAAACTGCCTCTTTCATTTATGCCAGTGATAGAGTTTTTAAAAGAAATATAGACTCTGGCATAGAGCCACTGTAAGTTTACACTTACTAGAGAAACCTATGGGCTTATTTGTTTAAGGTTTACTGCTTTGATTATTTGTAAGCGCTTTTCTGATAGGACTGAGCCTAGTGGTATTTGTGAGGCAGATGGGCATTTCAGTACTCGCATGAATCAGACAAATTTCCCCAGTATGCTGTAGAACAATTGTTGAGGACATGATGCTCCCTGAAGTGGTGCAGACTTTGTTTTTTAAACCAATATCTTCACATTTAAAGGACCTCTGTATCCATCCCTCCCAACAGCTGGGCAGTCTCACATGACACAGTCTCGTATTCTGAAGGTAGAAGGCCTCTGCACAATGCAAGTATGCACAAAAGTGTTTGTGTTGGCAAAATAAACTTTGTTAAGAGCAAGGGCTTATTTGCTAGAATGCCATCAATGCTGTTTCAGGGCTTTGTTTTCTTTTTCTTTCTTCTAAGATGGGTCAGGTCTTTTAACAGACTATTGCTCCACGGTCTTTACTAAATAAATATTTTAAGAAAACATGCACAGTTCTCAAGGGGCAAACCAGAGTCCATCATGTACATATTTCAAACCACATTATGTATTACTCTTACAGGCTTTGTAACTTCTGTATCTAGAGTAGTAACTTTGCATAAGTTCTGAGTAATTTTCAACTAAATTTACAACTTAAGGTTAAGCAGTTCACCCTCTTTGGGTGCTTTCCATGGAACCAGATATCAGTCAATGTTTTTTTTTGTGAATGTAGGTATAGTATATATAAAATGATATAATATACAGCCACATATTACTTAATATTTATTTGCATACAATATGCTATATATAATTTTCAGTGACAATTATTTTAAATTAGAAGAACCTAATAAAAGTGAATTATAAAAAGGAGAATAGTAATACCTAGCTGTTCTAGTATTTGTAGAATCATCTTAAATAATGCCTTGAAACCACTTAAAGCACTGCCTAGCAAGCACTCCAAACAAACCTGACATGGTTATGATATATGTATGATTATTACCATCCTTGTGGGATGATCATTAATGTCAATTTCCATTTCCCAGGCACCTTCACTTTGTATTCCACCCTAAACAGGCCTTGCTTGCACCTCTGTTCTCTGATATATAGCCATGTCCACCGGCTAATATGAGTTAAGTATAGCAGGCTATTGTAGATGCAAAGATGGATCTTCATGCTCACCTGGAAATTTTCCTTTTCTGAGAGACTCCACACTTTAAAATCAGAGATGGAGGAATTCTGAAATTTTAATGTTTATTTCAAAATACTCCATAGTGTGAATGAAACAGAGCTTAAAGCAAGCCTCTACCCTCAGTACGATCTTCCAAAATGACCTGTGAAGAACTCTAAGTAGAGCACAACTTTATATAGTTGGCCAGAGGAGAAGGCAGAAAGGCTAGGGGTGCTAATTAACTCTCACAAGTCTGAGATAGGCTGAGCAACGTAGAAACACCCTTCCAAACATTCAGCTTTTACCACTCAAAGAAATTTTGAGACACTTAATGGGTAAGAGTTAAATATGTTTGGAATTGTTATGTGACATGGGCATTTCCAGGCTGATGGGTGGTTCAACCTTTCCACTGCAGTATTCCTGACATTGAGGTGTGAGAAGATCCCAGAGAGTGACTGCAGCTAGATTTTCTCCTGATGGAGGAACAATGTAAACTGAAAAACTAAGGGTGGATAGTTGCCTATAATAGTAAACTTTATAAGATCTCGCCCTATGAGGAAAAGATTCTGATAATGTTTTAAACCTTTTCCCCTTCTCAAAGTATCCTTAGAATTCATTCACATGGTAAACTCTTGTCTGTTTTGTTCCTAAACTAAGTGCTTCTGTGTTATGTTCTAGGACGCAGTATCAATGTAAAATCTGCTGGTCTTGTAGGAAGACATGGGCCTCAGTCTAAACAGCCATTCATGGTGGCCTTCTTCAAGGCGAGTGAGGTACTCCTTCGATCTGTGAGAGCAGCCAACAAACGGAAAAATCAAAACCGCAATAAATCCAGCTCTCATCAGGACTCCTCTAAGATGTCCAGTGCTGGAGGTAAGACAAAAATGAGAATGGCAGTTGTACACAGAGTTATGGGATCATATGTTGCAAATCAAGTGGCTACAATAAATTTACCCTCTCTATATACCTTCGTTTGGTGTATTAAATCTTCTAATGATGTTTCCGGCATCCTCAGAATGTTTCATCAGTGAATCACTCAGTAATTCATTTTGAAATAAGTCTGACTTGCTTTCCTATGTTGAAAGATTCAGTTCAAATTAAAATCATGCAGGCAGTAATAAAATTATGAAATGGCTAGAACAACAAAGTCTGGCCAGAACTGAATGACACAACTCACTGAGCCAATGTCACCAGGGCCTCTGAAAGGTGAATAGTCTACCAGGTAAATTGTGCATAAAACCCTTTCTTTAGTTCTAATATGTGAACCATGGAGCTCAAATCCTTTCTGAAAATAGAAGTAGGATAGATCAATGAGAATCAAGGTAATATTTCTATTTCTATGGATTATTTTCAGAACCATTGTTTGGGTAACCTGCTCTGGGTTGAGTCTACACATGTATATATAAATTCTTTCAACAAAATGTTATAAATGCACAACTGATGTCAATGTACTTGGACTTTAATGGATTTTTTGATAGAAAAGAAGATAAAATTGCAATTAATCAGAAAGCATATAACTGCCAAAAACTGCAGTGAGTTAATCAGAGTATTTATATTGAGAAGGATCTTATTTAATCCAGGCTGCAAACAAGCTGTTTTTCAATGAAATTGATGGCTACATTCTTCTAAATATTATTTTTATCTATAAAACATAAATTAGAAAGGAGATTCTGATTCCAGAATATCCCAACTTAATACAACATGTTGTTTACTAGTGAAGTGTATGTCCTTCTATGTTAATGGCCAGCATGTGCAGGGTACTCCACCAGCACAGTGGATAAGATGATGCACAAAACAAATAGGACTCTGATGTGTGGAATTTCAGCAAATTAGAATTCTACTTTCAAATAGCCTTTAACATTATTCAAAATCTTCAGCTTTCTGAGTTTACTTGAAAATGACAAATAATCTAGCATTATTTATTATTCAAATATGTTTGGGGATTTAAATAAGAAGTAGACGATTATAAATAAAGCAAAAATATGTTCTTTCTTGTTTTTGTTTTTCGGAGATTTTTGCACCTGAGACCCCCACCAAAATGCTAAATGGATCCATTGAAGCCTTCCAGAAGTGTAGGTGCTAGAGAATCATGTTAGAAACAAACTCTTTTTGGTATATTTGGCAACAGAACCAGAAGGGAAGAATCCTACATCAAATTACATTCACGGAATTAAATGTTTAAAGTTATGTTTTAAAATTATTTTCTATCAGGCCGGTATGTAGCTCAGTGGCACAGCATCGGCCTGGCAAGCATGAGGTCCTGAGTTCAATCCCCAGAACCAAAAAAAGCCAAACAAACAAAAAAGTAAAATAATCTTCTATCAAAGACACTTAACCACTTTTTCTTTCAAAGTAAAAGATGATACTAGTGCTTATTACAAAACTATTTTGTAAAGATACTTGCAAGATACGTAGGTTGGTGAAAAGTTATAATTACTTAATATGAAGATGAAGAAAAATAACTTTCTAAGACCTTTTCTTCTTTGTAAATACTAGCCTTTCAAAGTTGTATGTTTTTCTTTTCATGTAGAATGACTCTGAATTCGGTTGGGATGTTTTTAATTTAATGTAGCAGACTGCATTAAGAAAAGGGCTTGGTGAACTTTGAATACTGAATAATTTTTGAGGAAATTACAAAGGGAAAAATATAAGTCTCATACTTATTATTAGATCTCATAGTTACTCTGGCAGAGGTGTTCCAGCAACTGAAATCATCAAAGTACTTTTCCCTGTTGGTTAACTCTATTTATCTTTTCCTTCTGACCACAAGTAACAAATGTACTTCTGTAACCATAGATGAATAAAACACATGGAGCAAAATCATGTAACTTTTCACCAGTTTCCTAACACCATTTAGAGTAAGAAATTTTTCTAATATAAACCAATATTTTCTTTTTCAAAGTTTGTCATTGGCATCTGTTTCTGTGAAATACGTGGTAGATGGTTTTGGAGCATGTTCATATTTTGATAATAAAAAGAAAAAAGTAGCTGGTTTGTGTCTCTGAGACTTAACCTTTCAATAGGTAGTAATCAAGCAGACTGGGAAAAGCCTCCTAGGATTTGGCTTAAAAGACAGGGCTTTAAGAAAAAGGAATGCTAATATAAACAGAAAATTCGATACTTAGACTTGAAATGCCAGGGAAATTTTAAAATTATCTAAATATAAATAATAAATTCTATAATAGTACTATGCTTTTACAATAGAATGCTGTGTAAAGTGCCCTGCTAAGAGGAGGTGAAAGGGAAGGTGGTTAGAGAGAGCTGTGTTAGGTGTTTGCCTGATTTTTTTTTTATTTTTTGCAAAGCCCACCATCTAATGTGGAAAGTGTCAAATAGAGCAAGAGGCAGGAGAACTGAAATCCACGTCGTTCTTGCCATCTTCATCCTATTTCTTTCCCATTTCAAAGATCCCTGCCTTCTGACTTCCCAAGGTCCTTTTCTCCTTGGTTCTCCTATGGGAGAGCCCTAAACAGTGTGCAGCACAAAGTAGGGGCCTGCAGATCCTTGTGGAATAAGTTGCTGTGCTGATACCACACAGAAATTACCTCCTTCTTTTCAGTGAATGTGCATAGAGCCACTGCTCCCAGTTTTTCTGTAGACGCTGCCCATCATCTGGTTTTTGGCAAGAAGCTTGAGCAGGCACATTGTGGGAGGTACTGTGTATTTCATACCGGGGTTGCACAGTGGATATTTCTTCCAAATTTCTTTATGTCGGAGAAAGAGATCAAGGCAAAGCTACATTGTAAGCTTACCACTCTTTTAAGACATAAAGACACTGGTAAGGAGAATTTTTTTAAAGAACCATGATGTTGTTCTAAGAGCTACACCAAAAGCTAAATGACAGAGTATTAAGAATCTAGAAGAACAAGAAAAATGGCAAGTCTTGGCTCACTGAAGAAATGTTACCAAGGACTTCTGTGCCTTGCTCAGTAGTACAGATCTCTGAAAATGGATGCAATCATGTGGTGGCCCTGCCTAAATCGATGGCAGCTTCTCAGGGTAAGACTTTCATATAGTTAACCAAACTGAAACATATTCTCAGCTTATTTTCAACTCTGATAGGCATATCTCTTGCCTCGAATAGCCACAGATATTCATCAAAATAAGAAAATAGAAAAAAGTAGAGTTAACTGGAAATACTTTTTCAAAAAATTTTTGTAACAGAATTAATATACGCTTTTAGTATTTTAAAATAATAAAATCAGAAACTTTTCCTTTGTTCACCTAATCCTATATTACCCCCACACACTGATATCAACATGATACATGTACTTCTAAACTTTTCTTTCCATATGTACATTTCCTTTGAGATAATATATTTTTGTTTGTTTGTTTATTTGTTTGTTTTTGATACTGGGGATCTTGCACTTGCAAGGCAGGCCCCGGAACCACTGAGCTAAATCCCTGGCCTTGAGATAATATATTTTTGTTGTCCATATTTAATTACATAAATTACATCTTTTTATGTGTTTTTAAAAGTGTCTTAGTCATCTTTTAAATACAGTGATCTTATTCTTTTTAAATGTTGCAGCATTTTTAATAACCCTAGAATGAGTTTAATCATGTCATACCTAACAAACATTTTGGTCATTTCCAAACTGAGCCTCTGGAAATCAATACTATATTGTAAACCCTGCTATACTGGTATTACAAAGGTGAAAATGTTTCTAATCCAAGTGATTTGCATAGAAACTAACATTAATTGCCAATATTTATTCCTTGAATCATGCAAAATTTTAGAAGCCTCGCCTAAAACAATTATTTTGGTGCATTCAGTATAGAGTTAGCTAGTTCTACTTGTACCTTTAGTTATCTATTATCTATGTATCACTTAATACTAGACACACAACTTTCTGTTATGTAATTTTGGATAAGAAAGATATCAAGTACTTACCTGAGAAAGAATAGACATTTTCCAAAAATGGAGGGCTGACTGAAACCAGTTAAAACTGATATACACAATTATAGGACCATGTATCAATGTTGACTGACTGGTGTACACATGGAAATTATGCATAGGTGAAATCATAAGGAATGAAAGTTACAGTTAGAAGTGTAGGAAGAAAGATGTAGGAGGCATTATCATAGGTTTCAAAATGACCAGAAGAAAACGTTGAGAAAGTATGATGTAACCAAGAGTGCAAAGAACTTCTAGTGGGCTCTTTAGAACACTGAAAAGGGTCAAATAATAGGGCCTTATGGATCTATTTAATGTAGAATCTGAGGAGAAAAAAAAGAAAATCAAGAAATTTAATACATTTTCTGTCATTGGCCACTAAGCGAGCAATGATCTTATTAATAAAAAAGTGTAAGCGTTAAAACAATGTGAAGGCAGGGAATGTGGCTCAGCAGCACAGTGTCTGCCTGGCAAGTGCAAGGCCCTGAGTTTGATTCCAGGTCCCCCAAAAATAATGTGAGATTAGAAGTAGAAACTGTGTAGGACTCAGCTGGGAAATTTCCACTTAGAAATCTCTAGCAGGCAATTGGAAAACAAAGCTTGTGGCTAAGTTTTTATGTCAATGGGCTCCAAAGTGAAGATATTCATTGGGTCATTCACCTGATGCTTCACTAGTAGAATGAAGGAAATGCACTAGATAGCTGTTGTTTTCAGGTGTCTGTTTTGTGTCACAGATTGGTACCCAGACAAACATAGATATCCCTATGCAAACAATCACAGCAATTCCAGAAATTGTGTGTACATTCAAGTGGATGATTTTTAGGGTGTGGATATGGAAAGTAGTGAGTAGTAATCGTATTTTTAGAGCCCTTATCTTTAGATGAGATTGTTATTGGTTTCGGAGTTTATTGAAAATTTCCTTACCCCCAAGGCTATATCCAGTTTCATTATATAATAGTCTATTGTAACACCAGTCCTGCTTCTTTGTTTTTTATCTCTTATACTTTCATTCATCATTTTCCATTTTACATGAATAAATAAAGTCTTCTGGTCTTGTGGTGTATGTACGTCCTTTACTTGCTTTTCCTTTGGGAATTAAGAGTGAGAAATTTAACAATCTCTTGCTTTGAAGCAGAGGTAACACACCACATTTATCTAATATAAGTTGTTATCATTCTTAAATGTTAAATTCTATTTTAGATTGTCCTATCTAGCTATCTATTCATCATATCTCCTAAAGAACTGCTACTTTGAAACCAGTGTTGGTACAAGGAGGTTTTTTTATTTTTTTATTTTTCACTTGTTTGTCTGTTGTCCTCTTCATGGCTAGGTTAGCCTGTTTATTTAGGAAATGGGGTGAACACCACTGAAAGTCTCTGGAGAGCTCAATTTTTTTTTAAAAAACACAATCTTTTATGCCTATATAGTTTGGGGGGGGTTCATATTTTTTTCCAAGATAAAATGATAGATTTAAATTAAAGTAGCCAGGCACAGTGGCACATGCTTGGAATCCTAGCACTCTGGGAGGCTGAGGCAGGAGGACCTAAGTCTGAGTCTAGCTTGAGCATTGTAGTGATTTAGGGAGACCTGTCAAAAAAATTAATTAGAAAGAATAAATTTACAGTTTCTCAAAACTGACTGTAAAGGTATTTGTATAAAATATTTAACAACATGATCAATATTTCAAAATTGTTTTCCTAGTGTTACAAGACAGAACCCAGAAGTGCTGTATTCATAGCACCTGCATGATGGTCGAGGCATGTTAGCATCCTTTGTCTTGTGTTGACAGTGGCACCAGAACATTTCAATAATTTCTGGGATGACTTCATCTGTAGACTGGTTCATCAACTGTAGAATTATAGCCATTTCATTTTAATCTCCCCAGGGCTGACGATACCTTTTTGAAGGTATCAATCCAATCCCCTTGCCTACTCCCCCAGGTTATTCTGTGAGCAGTTCTTAGGAAACCTACCAATCTTTGCTGGCTAGGGTACAATATCAATTCCACTCAGCATCCATTAGTTTTTATTTCTGATGGAGGAAGCACATGGTCCTAAAGCTCTATGAAATCAGACTCTTGGAAGCAGATTCTGTCATAAATTTCATTGCTTCCTTCCCTATGTGATGTTACAGTATATACATAGCCGGCATGCCAGCTACATTGATGGAACAGATATACGAGGATCTTTAAGTTTTATTTTCTTTTTAAAAAATAAGCATGGAATTGAAATAACTATACATGTACTTTATGATACATATAAAGTCAGTTTTTTGTACTCTTACTGAGATTACAGGGGAGGTTTTCCTAAAGAACAAGAGTACCAAGTGTCCCCTAATTTTCCCCTCTATTATCCATTATTACTTCTGATTTGTTCTAATTGTACAGTAGGAATGACGGATCTAGAATTAGGAAAAATCCTCTTGCATTCTAAATTTAAGGATTATCTGTTTTGTACAGTATTATTAGACAAATATTTGTTTGAAGTAACTGAACAGATAGTTACATGACCTTGTAAGAGGGACCCCTTTGCCCTGTGATATATCTATATATCAAATCGTTTGTGGAGCACGATGAGAAATTTGTTCATAATTCCTCCACTGTTTACTGAAGGCCTGTGGTGTGCAGTGTACTCTTCCTGACCCTTGAGCCACATCAGTGAACAAAGGAGACAAAAGTCTTACTGTGGAGAGGCTCACATTTGGGGAGAGGAAACAGACAAGAATCAATGCATGTAATAAATTAGTAAATGGCGTGGCATTTCAAAAAGTGATAAGTGAAATGAAAAAGAAAAGAACAAGATAAGAGAAATCAAGACTACTGCAATGTTAAATAGGGTAGTCAGGGAAAGCCTCCATGGGAAGAGAAGATCATGATTGAGAAGCTGGAGGAATTAGGCATTCCAGAGAAGAATGTTTCAGGGAGTAAGAGTCAAGGCTCTAAGGTAAGGCCAAGTTCAACTCTGAGTGTAACAACAAGGAAGTGTCATAGCTGGAGCAAGGAGAAAAGAAAAAGAGGAAGGTAACAGGAGTGAACCATGCAAAGACAGTAAACGCTGTGAGGACACCTAGTGCTATGGCAGACACCACAGGACTTCTTACTGCTTTGCTGTAGGCAAGCAAGTGCCCCAGCAGGGAGAAGAGCATTGAGAATGCCACAGTAATCTGGGCTAGAGATGAGGGTGGATGGGGCCAGGAGCAATGATGGAGGTGGTGAGAGTGGGTCGATGTTGGATCTGTTTGGAAGTATACATGAGGTATCTTGATAGATTGGATGGGAGAGTGGAAGAAAATTATTTTGACTCCCAGCTTTTTGGTTTTATTCTTGGTCTCTTGCCTAGACAATATTGGCATCAGCCAAGGATGGAGAAATGTGGAGGTGGAAAGGTTTTTGAGGGATGATCAGAAGCTCAGCTTGAGGTATCTTGAGTTTGTGATGTTTATTAAAATAGAATCAACTAAGTAAGAACCCAACACCTGCCTCATGGAAGGTGATAAAAAATATTTATGAACATTCACTATCTATGAATATATTAAGAACCATGTAGTGTGCTGAATTAATGAATGAACATAGATTGAACAGCTAGTTCTCACTGAGTGGCAGGCACCAGGCTGTGCCCTGTTGAGCAGTGGTAACAGAGTCCCTGTCAGAATTTCATAAGGCAAATGGCCCTGTCTACACTTCACCACAAGTGATAAGACTGAAATCCATATGGCCAGTATGTGGCTCTAGCATTAAGATTCAAACTCATGTTTCAGGTCTTTGGACTATGACCCCTTTGAAAACTCTTATCAGAGATATCATTAAACAAATATTCTACATCTGATATGCTTTTGTTTGTTTAAATTGTGATTTTTTAAAAATCTTCAGATTATAATACAAGTGAACAAAAACAAGCCTGCAAAAAGCATGAACTCTATGTAAGTTTCCGGGATCTGGGATGGCAGGTAAGAATTTTCAGTCATCTCAAGTGTTGTTTTTGTGGTTTATTGTAAATCCATACTAAGTCATAATCACATAATTTTGTTATAATTTTTCCAGGAAAATAGTCAATCAGTTTTGAATGGCTATCAGTATGTGGCTTATTTATATCATTTTCATTTCTCTACTACAGTAAGTTTTACAGACAAAAACAGCTCTCTGAAGAAGAAATAAAACTGTGTCATCTAGAAAGTGAAATAAAAACATACTGTCATTTAAATATCACAAACTTTTAATTTTATTGCAAATATAAGATTTTAATTCAGTCTAATACAAGCAAGTCTATTAGCCCTTTTGGAGCTTTTTCTAGAAAAAGGAACTGTCAACACTAATGTTTCTTTCATGAGATAAATGTACAAAAACAATGTCTTCTCTCAAAAATCATAACTTTACCTCACAAATAAGTTCAGCAAGAATACTTAACCAAAATAGTTTTTAATGGCTCTATGTGAGGACAGTTTAAAATGAAGTTTTTTGATTTCTTCTAGTATCCTATTACAATGGATGCTCAATATATGACCTATCTTATTGAGAAATAATATTAAAATGTAGGGCCGGGGAATTAGCTTAGTGGTTCTCCCACCTCTTTGCAAGTGCAAGATCCCGAGTTCGATTCCTGGTACCAAAAAAAAAATGTAAATATCTTTTAAAATTTTAATATATTTTCAATATACATAAGGCAGTAATATATTTATATGAATTTTATTTCTCTTGGGGGAAAAGCTGGGGCAATCATGCATGTAACAAATTTTCAGCTTCCTAAAATTTTTCATGTGCAATTTTCTGGAATTCGCTCCAATTCATTTCTTCTACAGAGACCCTAATAATAGATGAATGAAAAGAAAAACAGCACATGGAACTAATATTAAAGCTATAGGAGGTTGTAAGACTTCTAAAACCAACAATGAGTTATTAAGAAGCAGAGAGAATTATCTCAATTAAATTTATGCTCCTTGCCCTTTCTGGTTCACTTGAACTTTCCAGAGTTCATCACTTCCTGTGTGAATAACACATAGAATGCTATTTCATGATTATGGTTTAATCTATGAATACATACATGCATTAATGCATACTACAAATATCTTACATAGCAACCTCTTGAAAGAAATTAGGGAAGACAATTCTTGTGAAAATAGTTACTTGTAAACTTTGACTTAATATTACAGGGTGGGGGGGAACTGTCCTATTAGAATAATAGTTGGCCCATGGGAAACTTACTCAGATGAGACATATTTGAGTATTCCTTAGGAATTGTTTTAATTTTCATTTAAATGATATATTTTTTTCTTTTTGTGCATTTTAGGACTGGATTATAGCACCAGAAGGATATGCTGCATTTTATTGTGATGGAGAATGTTCTTTTCCACTTAATGCCCATATGAATGCCACCAACCATGCCATTGTTCAGACTCTGGTATGCTTTATTTTTGTAGGTTTCAAAATGGGTTGCAATATAAGCACTGTATGATGCTGTTTTACAGAAAAACATCCATTTACAATTATCAATGTGTTATCTTTTCTTCTCAAACTGCTGGTTACTTTTTATAGCTATGATGAGGTAACAATTGTGGGTATAGTCAGGAAATTCAAGCTGGCTGAAAGAGCAATCCTGAGTCCAGAATGGGGAAGGATTCAGCTAGGAAAATTGGAGTAATCATGTTCTTCACTACACAGTGTGATCAAACAGGCAGACTCCTATAGGCTATTTTTAACCTAGCAATTCATTAGGAATCATTGCAAAAATATTGACTAATATCTGTGATGAATTTCATCTGAGGGTTCTTGCTCAAATTAAGAAAGTTTTACAACATATTTTGGTATCACAAAAGTTGTTCAATGTAGTATATAAGCAGGAGGGAAATTTTCTATGTATTGATTACTTCCTTTCCTTCACTCTCTCCTTTTCCTCCTCTCTCCTCTTCCTCTTTTCTTTCAGTGATCTTTAACATGAAAATGATCTTTCCTTTTCTCTACTCCCAGGAGTTAAGAAGTCATTAAGTCTCTTTTGTGAACAAGGTATTAATAAGTTGATTTGATTGTCTCTGATTGTACTGTATCTAAAGAAGATTTTTTAAAAAACCCATTTGAGAGTCTGACGTATCTCAGGGTGTGTGACATGTTGATGTGGCAGAGGGACAGCCCCCTGGGAGAGTAAGTAAGAGGCCCTTAGAAAGTATAAAAGACCATGTGATATCATTCCCAACTTAATGTTTGGGTTACTAGGAAAATTTTATCTTCATGTGCTGAGGAGGAAAAGGAGGGAATACATTATTTTAGAATCAAACTTAATGATAAAAGTATAGTTGCTTGATGAATGGCAAGCAGTAAGGGAGCAGTGAATATTAGAAAACGCTGTCTTTTGGGTGAGACTTTTTATGACCTCCTTATCAAAATTATAGTACTTTTAGAATTTGTGAGATTTTTATTTTATAGAATGTTGCTTTTCCCCCACAATTAATTTAAAAGTAATTAAATTAAAATTAAACAGATGGAAGAAGGATTACTTTATTTGGAAGGACATAAGAATACCTCTTCCATCTGCTTAAATTTTAAATTAATTTGATATATATATATGAAATAGTTGAGTGATATTTTACTGTAATCTTTATTAACTTCATAAGATTCTACAGAATAAATGAGCACAAAAATGCAATATAACAATTAGGACATGTCTATTATCAAAAACTTTGGAAATAACCTTCATATTGGGAAAAACAGAAAGATAAAGCAAATTTGGGTCATCATTTTTACCCTAACCTACTTTAGCACCATATGCAAGGTAGAAATTCAGAGGTGGATTTTAAAGTTTGATATGCCTTCACCTTTGCTGTCTGTAAATATAAACACTTCTCTATGCCGGAGAGCCTTTCTAGGAGAAAGAGATAGTAGGTAGACTGTGAAAGTGTAGTGTTACACTCATGCTTCCATGCGGAGATAGACAGCAATGCTGCTCTCTCATCTTTTGGAGGGAACTCACCATGATTATCTTTCTCAATGGCCACAGAGGAACAACTCTTACTGGCTTATAAAGTAGTGTCACATAATTTCTCAGAAAATGCTTTGCCTCTTTTTGTTCCAGTGATTAAGAATGCAGAATTTCACTTCCATAGATATACATCTAAGGTATCAAAGGTGTCCCCAGGGCAAGCCATGCTTACTTATTGGCAAAGACCTTTTGTCAAATATTCCCCCTTTCTCTCACTTTTCCTTTTTTCTTACAAATATATGATTACATACTGTCAGCTCTTAGGGCTGTAGTCTACAAGGGAGCATTGAAACACAAACATTTAAGAAAGTCTGACATTAACTTGGAAGAAAACCTTGCTCTGCATCACTGCCTTGAGATGTAGAACATAAGTCATTGCAAAACTCAAGTGTACATGGGAAGTTTGATTTTTTTCCCCTGGTGTTGTGTATGCTCTACGTTTGTTCTGTGAAGAACATGAAACAAGAAGATAGGTATATTTATTGTTAAAATAAAGCATGTTTGTGACTAATACATTTGAGAAATCATTCAAGGACAATCCATTTTCTCAGAGCGACTGCAACGTGAGGCTGCCAAGGCCATTGAAACTTAGGGATCATCAATTATGTATGTGTGGGTCACAGAAGATAAAGCTGATGAGGAACACAAGCTGCATCTGAAATTTGTAGAAATTATTCAGTTTTTAGTTTTGTGCAGTCTTAGGAAATTTCAAGCTCACGTCAGCTCGCCTCATTTTCCTCTGGTTTTTTGTCAAAATTCAGGGCTCCTATATCATTTCAGCCAGGACACTGCAGCCAAAATGCCAAGAGGCTGTATTTGCCTTTTGTAGTTCCCTTAAAACTCATCAGTGGGATTTCCCATAAACTCCTCTGGGAGGCAGGGCTAGAGTAGGTGGCTGGGGAAGGGGAGACCCATACTGTGGCTCCTTGCCCAGTCATTGCAACTCAGAGGCAGACTTCCAGTCTGATCAGAATGAACATCAACACTTTGTTTTAGCATTTTGCTTTTTATGTACGGCCACCTTTTTTAGGCTGTTGGAAGGATGGATATTCAATTTATGTAATCTTGCCCTTTTGCTTCTGAACTAATTTTACTTGCTTTTGGCAACTCATCTAGGGAATGGGCAGGGGAGAGAGAATGTAAAATGATACTAAACTTTAGCCAGTCTGGTAAAACAAACAAACAAACAAACAAACAACCACTTTGGAGAAGATTTGAAGTCATTTTTAAAAACAAGCACTGGCTTTGATCTGCATTTTATTTCATTATAATTGTTATACTTCCTTCACCATGGAAAATTAAAAGTTGGCATAACATTGATGATTTATCATGTAATTATTCTTTTAGAAATAATCCAGAGATCTAAATATTTCTACAATCCTACTGTGTCTTTTTGATTTGCAATTATAACTTCTGTATTTCTTACCACATAAATAAATATCATTTCAACCAAAAGCAACTTTGATAGCTAACATGTTTTTCCCTAGGAAAATTTCCATCGAATAATCCATAAAGATTTTTGCTTCTTTGATGGACAACTTTTTGAGCCCCCAACATGTAAATAAAACTAGTGACTTGATTATTGGCGTCCTTGCTTAGGAATACACCCTCCTCATCAGTACCAACTCACCCCATGGAACATAAATAGGAGTAGGGTTGTCAGACTAAAGTTTCCCCTGGTTGTGTGTGATATAAAGCAAGCATATTATTTTATAAATATAAACAAGATCTTTGTGTACCCTATTTCTTAAAATACATTGTTTCCCCCCCCCAGGTTCATCTGATGTTTCCAGACCATGTACCAAAGCCTTGCTGTGCTCCAACCAAATTAAATGCCATCTCCGTTCTGTACTTTGATGACAGCTCCAATGTTATTTTGAAAAAATATAGAAATATGGTCGTGCGCTCATGTGGTTGCCATTGATATTAAACAATTGTGGTAATAACAAAAAGATTTGTATTAAGGTTTATGACTGCAATAAAGAGCAGACAAAAGAGGAATTTCCTAAATTAGTTTGAATCATTTCATCTTTCTTCATATGTATAATATAATATGTATATAGTAATTTCTATTTATTTAAAGTATATATCCTCCTTTGCAGATGTCTTATCCGTAAATTCTATTTTTAGTTCACTATACTATACAATATATCACTCAGTCTAAGTTTCAATGGAATATACTGAGTCCAGTTTTATTGTTTCAACATTTTTCCAGTACAATTTTTATATAATTTTCTGAGACTAAACAGAATCCCTTTGACTATTTAATATTGTTGAAGGAAATTGAATACATTTGGTGATATTGTGCCAATGAAAACTATGATAGGATACTTATTTAGAAATAAAACTTAAAAAAAATAACCCAAACAAAAAAATGCTTGGATAAACACAATTTTTCTTTCAGAGTTTCTGCTTCATTAGATAAAGTAAAATGTTGAACTTGATTTGACTAAATAACTGGTAGGCAGGACATAGAACCTGAAAGATTACACATAATTGTTATAACTGTTTGCTTTATGAGTTAGTGTAACTGTAAGGGTATATTCCTTCTTGGCTTGTGGACTGAAGATTTTACAAGGAGCTCAAAGCTTTAGGAATTCTATGGAGACAGGCTTGAGCCCATGTCTGTAACTTTCCAAGTTAACACTAAAAAATTTGTAGTACAACCTTCTTGCCTCAAGTAAATCATGCATGTCTGCCATTATCTAGAACACTACTGCTGCAGATTTATTTTTCAGATTCAAAAACTTCGTCCAAAATAAAGAAACATTTACATGTGCTCATTTCCCTCTCCACAGAGTCCCTGCATGTGTCAAATGTGCCGGAACTAGAGGGTGCAGACAGAGCCAGTTTCTTTGCTTTCTTTTTAACTGAGTTTGCTGATTGATGTGATGCAAGGGATTTTATTTTGGGGTAAAAGTACTGAAACTAAACTGAAGGAAGTTACCGAAAATCAATCCCAGAATGGCTTTGACAGAAATGCCATTTGAAAAGAACAACTGAGATCCATTTTTCATGTTTGTGAGAATGAGCTCAATGAAAACCTTACTCTGTAAAGGGATTTTGTAAACCTTCCTCCAAGCACAAATAACTCCAAATGGGAAGGGTCTCTTGTGTTTGTGTGCATAAGTGTTCTTCCCTCTGAAACTAATTTATTTTCTTTCTGTGTTGAAATGCCTTCTGAAGTTTTTCTTGAACATGCACTGACTTTCTGAAGAATGACCTTTAAGTTAATTAGTTGCTATTTATGGTAATTCCATGATTAAACTTAATCACCATTCATTTAAAATATTCAGAAATTACCATTTAATAATTGTCCTTTTGGATCTTTCAAACAAAATTTACATCAGCAAATGATTCAAAATCATTATGGTTTGCTTATAATTCAGGTATTTACAATACTGTTTTAAATACAGCCTATCTTATATAAAATATGACATTAACTATATTGGGGGTACATTAAATAATATATTTTCAATTAATAGTGTCCTATTGTGAGAATAAGAAATAGAAGTCTATAATATTATTCTTTAAATGTGCTGTTTAAATGTATTTCTATATTTTAAAATATATTAAACTTGTGATGCTAGTTTCTATTGTGCTTCTTGATTTGGTTCTTTATTTTATTTTTTTTTTTTTTTGTGCCGGGGATCAAACTCGGGACCTTGCGCTTGCGAGGCAGGCGCCGGAACCACTGAGCTAAATCCCCGGGCCGATTTGGTTCTTTATTTAAGAGAGATATAAAATGTAACTACATCATAAAATTTAGAATATAAAAATATTTATCAGATGTAAAATGTCTCTAAATTACTACATGATTCAGGATGTTGTTTTCAATTACCAAACCTGTTTTCTTATATTTTTATAGTTGACTCATTATTAAATGAACAAAGCACCAGTCCATGAATTATAGAATTTTTAATCTGTTCAAACAACTAAGAAATATGAAAAATGGGTGGGGGGGAATTAGGATGCAAAAACACTTCATTTATTCTTTTTCATATTACAAGGCAGAAATTTATTTATGTGATCTTTACAGTTCTGGGAATTGAACCCAGGGCCTTTGCACTGAGCTACATCCCCACCCCTTTAAAAAAAAAATGTTTGAGAGAGGTCTAGTTAAGTCACTAAGTAGTCCAAGGTGGGCTCTAACTTTTGATCCTCCTGCCTCAGTATCCAAAGTGCTGGGATTACAGGCATGCACCATTATGTCCAGCTTGCCATACTATTTTAGGGAGGAGGGTGGTGGAGGAAAAGACATAAAGAACATCAGTATTTATGCATTTTCTGAAGATATGTATATAAATATAGATAGACACACACATTATTCTCAAATAAATACTGTATTATAGTAAAATCTTAGTATTAACTTGGTAATACTTAAAGTATTAGTAGAAATCAGAAAACAGCCTATTTTAACAAGGTATAATTTTTCTTTTTAACTGGGTAATGTGCTGGTCTCTTGTTTGATTGTGTATATTTAAATGTTTTTTCTTTTTACATGTATTTTGTTATATAAATTGGCCCTTATACATTTTTGGAGCAGAAGAGCATAAATCATAAATACTCATAATGTTAAAACTAAGACAAAAATAGCCAACATTGAACTGGAGAAAACAGAAACAAAATCCAAAAATTTTTTTCTCAACTAAAGGACTGTCACTTTATAATGCTTGTATCACTATCATTGCATCTGAACCAGAGACTACTGGCTACTTTATGGTCTGGCAAATATCATCTCTCAAGACATTTACAATGAATAATTAGCTTATGCTACAGTTCCACTCAGCACAGAAGAAATTCCCATTCCAAAACACAAGCAACTGTCTCATAAGTATCCAGTCAAATGCTCTATCATTCAAACTGCAATTTGCATTACTTATTTTTCTGTTTTCCCCTTCATGTTTTTTGCAAGGGAAGTCTGGAGCTTTTTAAAGTTAGAAGTGAAGATGACTTTGCTGATAAAACATACATGCTGCTAAGTACTGTACATGTACACATACATCTGGGTTTTATCAAGGTTTGCTAAGTCAAAATTGCAAAGAAAGTAACAAACAATGCCAGAGTTTATTCTTATTTAGATAAAAAATGAAATTACATTCAAATTAGCAATTACAAAAGCAGCAAAGTTTCTACAAAATTATAGTCTTCTTTTTTTAGTGGGCATTTGAAAATCAGGAGAAATCAAATCAGATACAGCATTTAAAAATCTCAAGACATGTCAGAAATGAAAAACTTCTACCTTAGCATTTACATTTTCATTTTAGTTTAAACTTTATTGGGGACAGATAACTTCAGTGTGAAATGTCAATGTATGTGCACATTTGAGAGAGGATCTATAAATGCACTATAGCCTCAATTCTAAAATAAGGAGGAGCAGGCCAGGGATTTAGCTCAGAGGCACTGTGGCTTCCTGGCAAGCGCAAGGTCCTGAGTTTGATCCCTGGTACAAAAAAAAAAAAAAAAAAAAATTTAGAAGTGAGAAGGGAGAGAGGAAGGAAGGGAGAGAGAAAGATAAAGAAAGTGTGTGTTTGTGTGTGTGTGTGAGAGAGAGACAGGGAGAGAGGGATATTAAAGAATAAGGCTGCATAAGAGTTTCAAGTTTCAATCAATTTTGAAAGAGGACAAAACCTGAGAGTTTCGTGCAGTGTGAGGAGTGTTCTTCCTTTTGAGTTCACTGTGGCTTCTACTGCATAGTGAAATGCAGCAGAACATACTTAAAAACTTGCACTGTATTTATTTTCCTGCAAAAATGATATAGGAAAAACCCAGAGCAGGATAAAGTTTTTTATTGTTGTTTTGTTTCTTTGTACAAGGTCTGACTATGTAGCCCAGGCTGGCCTCAAACTTCCAGTGATCTTCCTGGCCCTCCTGCCTCAGCATCCTGTGCTGGGATTACAGGCATGTGCCACCATGCCTGACAAGGAGAACAATTTCTTTTTTAATCTTCATCACCAAGACAATAAGATAGCTTAGACTATTTAGTAATATCATAATTTCTTAAATAAAACACACACATACACACTAAATGCATTCTGAGATTGTGACAAAGAAAATTGTGAAAGACAGGAAAAAGACAGGGAGCAAAGTCAGAGAGGTCAGAGAGCTAGTCTTCCAAAATACACAGACAATAAACTCACAGACTGTTCAAAGAGCATTTTCTAGTGGGCTAGAGCCTTTGTTTCAATGACCATGTCTTCTGGGCAGGAGCAGCTGGTCTATGTACAGACAAGCAGAGTGGAGACTGAGGTAAGTGCTGCCCACATAATCAGGGAAAGGATGGGCCAGATGGCAAGCAAATTCACATAGGCTCTGGCTGTGGGAGGACAATATCCCCTTGGGGCATTCACATGGACTTGTGCCTAGAAACCACAGGATGTGGTATGTCTACACAGACTTGTACATCCACGTGTGTGCTTGTGACAGGCCCATAATTTCTAAAAGTCTGAGCTGAGTGAAGGAGCTGATAAACATTTGGAAGAAGCAAATGCAAATCCTCCCTGAGGGATTGTAGCTTCTACCCAGGCCTCAAGGACTCCCAACAAAATGATGCCATGGAACCAGAGCAGTGAGAAGAAGGCACCAGAAACGTTAAAGAACAAAGTGTGGACTCAATCTCATAAAGATGCTGTTTATTAAATTATCAGATGTATGATATAAATAAGCATATACCATATGTTGTATTTTTTCAATTAGTTTTCTTTTAATTAGTACATGTTTTCAGTATATAACACGTTTACACTCCATGTGTAGAATTGGCACGTATACACAACACGTTTTAATTTCTTTTAAATACCCTTCCTTCCCCTCTCTTCCCACTCCCTTCATTTCTTGGTCCCCTTCCAATTTGAGAATGATTTATCAAAGGAATACATAGCAAGCCTCTGATTCAAAAGATAATTTTTTTATATCCATGAGGTCAAGAATAAAAGTGTTTTAAAAGCCTAAAGGTATAAATATGTTTATTTTTCTTTTTAATCTGTTGTACAGTGGTAAATAGTGGCTTACAT